GGCCAAAGAGGAGCGTCATAACCACGAGGTTCAACGTCAGAGAGAGAACAACCTCCAGCAGAAGGCATTCCTGCAGGCACAGATGGAAACGACTGAGCAGCAGAGAATACAGGCAAAGCAACTGAAGCAAGAGGAGGCCCAGTTACTGGTACTGAGCATATAATAGGATGAATCAATCAAACCAAGCCACAGTTATTATAGGGATGCACAATATGTCTGTACCAATATTAGAGATTTTTTAATTGATTCATAATCTGTCGATATTGGTTATTTAATCAGGCATGCTCATTTTCCCTATCTTTAAATTTAGATCACCTTAATGGTCTCTTCAAATTTCTTTAAATGAATGTGTTCTTCTGTAGTTGATGAGTTTGTTTAGTTTTGTATTGTGTTATTAATTCACAAAAATTTATATTAGAACTAATATTTTTTTTAATAATGTAAATATAATAGTATAAAATGCATACTTTTGTTATTAAAAAGATATTACATTATATATATATATTGCAACTTATATTTTTAAATTCTCTCTCTCTCTCTCTATATATATATAATGGCATTTAATATACACTTATTATATTATTACATCTAAATAAATAAAAATAAAATATAAATATCAGAACTGATATTTTTGAATAATCTAAATGTATTTACATAGTATTAATTATACAATTATATTATTAAAAATAATATTTAAAAACTAAATAATAAAAAAATATGTCACTTATAAATATAATCTTTAGCAAATCTCAAAATTAATTTAAATTTTACAAACCGATCATGGTAACACTTTATTTTAAGGTGTCCTTGTTACACATGTTACATATACTTACTATTATAATCACAATTAATTATGCATAATTACATGCAAGTAACCCTAAACCAAACCCAAATCCTAACTCTAACCATATAGTAAGTACATGTAGTTAATTAATATTACTCAGTACTTATATGTATAATTACACTGTAACAAGGACACCTTAAAATAAAGTGTCACCCCGAACATTATAATGCCTTGATGCATTAAAAAATACAATAAAACTTTGAAGCTTTGGCACTGACTCTCGTGAACGTTGTGCTCCTTAGAGAGAGCACAGGGAGATGCTTCGCCTGGAGGCAGAGAGAGAACACAGACAGAAGCTTCAAGACCAGGAGAAACGACGTAAACAACTGGACCTTTCGCTTCGGCTGAAGATGAAGCGCCTGGCACGAGATCGGCAGGAAGAGCTGGCTCTGGATATGAGCATCCTGGAGCAACTAATGACTGAAGAGCGAGATGAAAAGCAAGATGAGGTCCTCAAAAAGGTTAGATTTCAGCCCACACTGTGGCCATTTTTGACCATCAATGTAAATTCTCTCATTATTCATAAAATGTTCTTACTAAACAGCTGGAGCGTCAAGAGGAGCAGCGCAGGTACCGGGAGTATCTGGCAGAGCAGTTGGAAGAGCAGAAACGGCAAGAAGCTGAGACGGAGCAACTGTTTGAATCAGAGCTGCAGCAGGCCTGGGCCCGCAGGGAGGCACAGTGGCGTCAGGAAAAGGCAGCGAGGGACCGACTCATGAAGGATGTCATGGACACTCGCCGATTGCAGATCCAAGAGAAGTGTAAGGAAATTGCTTTAAGATCAGCCATTTTCACACATACACGCACACGCGCACACACACACACACACACACACACACACACACATATATATATATAAAGAAATTAATACTTTTTTTAGCTAGGACACATTAAATTGATTGGAAGTTACAATAAATAAATTTATGATGTTACAAAACATATTTTTCAAATAAATGAGGTTCTTTTCAATTTTCTATTCATCAAAGATTTCTGAAAAAATGTATCATGGTTTCCACAAAATATCAAGCAGCACAGCTGTTTTCAACATTGATAATAACAATAATTGTTTTTGAGAACCATGTCAGTATATTTTAAAATGAACAAAAAAAAGTTTGTAAAATAATAATAGATATTTTATTACACACAATAACATAGTTATCACATTTAATAATTTTTAGTTTTTAATGCATTTTTGATCATGCTGCCTTGGTGAGCAAAAGAATCTGCAAAAACATTTTTAAAAAATCTTACTGACCCCAGACTTTGCAGGGTAGCACGGTGTATGTATATATATATATATATATATATATATATATATAATATTTATTATGAAGGTGCTATTTTTCTCTTCAGTGAATGAGAATATGCAGAAACAGGCTGAGCCTTTCAAAGAGAGAGAGGAGCTTGACCGAATCCTTCAAGAGAACAAATTGCTGGATGAAGAAGAAAAGAATCGGTAGGTTTTTGTCAAAGTTGTTCAACTTAATCATACTTATACCAACCAAAACATACAAAAATAATTTCACTAATTTCTAGTTTAAGGGAGGCCACTCAGGAATATCAGGCTGATTTATTGGCTCAGATGCTGTACCGCCAACGCATTCGTGAAGCAGAACAAGCTGAGAAAGAATACGAGTTCCAGAAGGGTCTGATGTACCAGGAGCAGTACAATAAGAAGATTCAGGACATCCTTTCAAGGCCAATATCCAGCACCACAGCAGTTCATCCCTTCAGGAGACGAGAGCGCTCCAACTTTGGTGCACAGTTGGCATAAATCCATCCAGTTCTATTCACAACATAAGTAACATTCATTAGTATGAAATATTCTAAAAATATTAGTATGAAAATACATTAAAAAAATTAAAATAAGGAACTTTCAGTGAACTTACATGCTTAAATATCTTGCTCATTTCTGAATAACTATATGTTGTATGTTTTACACATTTGTGTGTTCTGTGATCAGATTCATTATCTATGTACTGAAGTTTGTATTCAGACAAGTCTGACTGGATTAACTTGTTTTGAGGTAGATATTTGCATGTTTAAAAGTTAATTATTTAAAGAAAGCCAATCATTTCAATGAATAGACTGTGAATAGTGTCTTCTTTTTGCAAATCACTCAGACTTACTTATACACCGCATCTAACACCAACCATCTCATTAAAAACAATGGAAAGCTGTCCAGGGTTGCTATGAAACATGTACAGTACATAATACCAGGAGAGGTCAAAAGGTTAAGGTTTAAAAATGACAGTTAACATGCAGAATATTTCCATAATGATTTAGCAACAGGGTTTTAGACCAGTAAGCTGCTGGGTTAAATGATTAGAGGGTGAATGAGTCGGTGGGTAACTTTTGACGCTGCAAATACCACGACAGCTTGTGTATGGTGAAGAAGTTAGTCAACACCCAATACCTTACTTAGGAGTGGTAGGGGTGTGGAGCAATTGGTCTATGTCATTTTTGTCTTTTTTTTTCTCACCTGGCTGTTCAGACAGGTTTAACTTTTACCCAAGCCAGTTTGGAACTACAAAATTCGGCAAAGTATGCTATACAATCTTTTTAAGCTTGACATGAGGAATATACAACATCTGAATAATTCAGAGCTCTGATGATCATTGTGTCTGTGGATATTGGCACAATTTTTTGGAGAAAATGCGTGAACATGAACTGTATGCCAAGGTAGGTCAGGTATTGCTACTCTTTCATTCTAGATTTCCTCATCACATTAATTACAGTATGTGGTCCACTGAGATTTACAGGTTACAGCTTTATAAATAAATTAAAATATACAATCTAAACCAGGCTAACCGTAGCTAAACACATTTATGCATCTTTTTATGTCATTTTTAATGTCCTCATTCTGAATTTATGTTTCATCCTGTAGTTTAAACATGGCTTGTGTTCACTCTGCACCTTGCAGATAAGAGTAGAGAGGCTGCTGTGTTGCTCAGCTTTGTGTCTTTGATTAATGATGCAGACACTGAGCACACACAATGCACACTATCTGATTATTCTAGGCAGCTTCTGCTCTCAAATATTTCTGAGAAACACAAGAAAAGTACATGTATATATAGAATCTTGTGATAAACTTCACATTGTATGATCACAATGAAATGGGCCCATGCAGTCAACTTCGACAAAGCTGTGTCGTCCTGGTGCTATGATGTGTTTCTATGTATTTAATAGCTTATACTGTCTGTGTACTAATAGTAGACTATTTTAGTGCTAAGTGTTTCAATGTCTAGCTGGAGACATTGAAGCAAAAGCTGTATTTCATGGAGTAATCATTTATTTAGACTAAAATGCTCTCAGATGACTGATAAAACCGCACTGAATACATATGGGTCAATTATGTGAATTTTTTTTTTTTTTGTCTGGATCTAGTAAGTCTTTAAAAATTTTAAATAAATAGATAAATAAGAATGCAGTTCATTAAAATTGACTTGAATACACATTTTCTAGTATAAACATATTTTAAATTTCTGATTTAAAAAATACTTTAGAATTTAACTTTTTATATTTTTTGTTTGGTCTAAAGGCAAATATGAGTGGTATAGCTGCCCAGAGAAAGGAAAACAGTCTCTAAAAAAAATAATTATTGGAAAAAGTTGATGTTATTATTATTATTTTTTTTTAAATAAGCAGCAGCTATTTTGCATTTAAATTTACATTTAGTCAATTAGCACATGCTTTTATCCAAAGTGACTTACAAATGAGGAACAACACAAACAATTTATCATAAGACCCAAATTCAGCTCAGTGTAAGCTATAGTGGCACACAAGCTTGAGCATAAGTGCAATACAGAAAAGAAAAAAACAAAGGGTCTTATATTATATATAACATATATATATATTGGATTTATTATAGGAAGTGCATTGTTTATGGTTTTGGTTTGTTTTAAAATATTAATAAGAAAGCCATTTTGTTGTCATGTGACAAGAGAGGACCCCTTTAGACCCTCATCACTTATTGCAATAAGTTTTTAGATTTTTAAAAGTGTTTTTTTTTTTCTTTTTAAATTCTTTTTATTTAGCCAGGACGTTCTCATTTCTGTCAGCATGTGATTTTTCGTGCAGTTCTGTAATTGGCCAGATGGTGTCGCTGTAGACACACTGAATTGTGCCATTGATCCATGAGCCTCTGCCGCTGCGGTCATGTCAGTCAGCATCATAGAGTCTATGAAGAAGGGAAGAAGGGAGGGCAGGAACTCCTGCATTTTGACATTTACACACTTTTCTCACATTTAACCAGTACCTTTAAGTCGTTACCTGAACTCAGCGATTAGTCGTGGCCATCGCTTATTTTAACTTGATTTTTATGTGGAGGAGGAGATGAAAGGGGCTTGTCCAACTCAACTTCAATTATGGGAACAGACACCTGCCGCGATCAGGCGCGGCTAACGCGCTAACATTAGCCGTCAGAGGGAGTTCAAAAGTACAAACCAGCATACCAGGACGACATGGAGTGGTGACAGCACACAGAAAACCTGGATTATAAAACTTGTTGGGAATATCATTGTATTCAAACGGAGATATTTTAACCTTACGTGTGCTGATGTAACCAGTTTTGGTGGGAGTTGCTGTATTTGGGATCATGTCTGTGACTGAACTCTACTCTAAGGTGAGTTGTTTGAATTAGTTTTATTTCACCATTAAATAGATAAATAAATAGTTAATCATATGTGACAGGTGGACAGTAATATGCCATTTATTTTCTGTGTGAGATCGTAAACGACGCGAAACGCCTTCGCCAATCTTAAATCTTCGTTCAATGTAGCATGACTAACTTAAAATAATTTAATTAATCTCAAAACATCATAAAACCTCACAAAAGGTAATATTCAACTATGTGACGCCCTGCGGTTCTGCTTAACTGCCTCTAACTTCCTATAAAACACAGGGAAGTATCGCGGACAGGTGTGTTTGTTAGTTTCGGTCTGTAGGTAGTTTCGGTGTTCGCGGTGTTCGAAAACCGATTGAGCTCCCTATCTAGACAGCATCTTTGAGCGCGTTCAGATGCGTCTTTGTTGTCAAACAATGCCTTCTATGCAGGCAGCTCACTAAGTTACGAGATACAGCCAGTGTTTATGACGAGCTCTTCCTCTTTTGAGGACTTTAGTGACTCTGATAGTTCAAATTCCTCTAAATATGCTGCAATAGGAAAGACGTTTGTTTACGTTTTAGGTGTATCTGTCAAAACCAGCATACGCAATAAACAATAATTTCAGTTTATTGGGTATTAATTTCCTGTAAATTTGGCAACATTTGTTGGGAGAAGTTGTTGCATTGAATTCCTCATTTGATATTTAAATCTGTAATTTTTTGTGCTTGTTTGGATCGTTAATATGACCATTGAAGATTTATTTTCAGGGCTCCCATACTTAGGGAATTTTATTATGAAAAATGAACAATTTAATCTGTGCCTGCCTGTAAATATTTCATTAGATAGTAATAGGTACAAACGACTGGAAGAAGTCATAGAAATTCAGCACTTATGCCTTGTAATCCCACAAATATGAACTGACATTTGTTTTTGTATTATTTTATTTTGACCTCTGGAGATATTTCACAGAGGGAAAGTAGGTTAGGAAAGACCTTTGTATAGCCTAATATTTTATGGTCACATACTAATGCTGCAGGTGACTCAGTGTTTCCAAGTTGTTTGGGCTTGTATGCAAAATTAATATATTTTTTTTCCCTCTAGTCTTCAGCCTTGGACAGACTGTTCAGTTCAGCCTGATTCTCATAGTGTCACCATAAGGGTGGATTCATATTACACCAGTTCAGTCCCGTATTTTGGCCTCTGTGCTCTGGTATTGTTCGGATATTTTGCCCTAAAAGTATTCTACAGCTTTCAGGTTGTATTATTAGCTTGTGTGCTGTTACCGTAGCGATCATAAAAGACCAAACCAGTGATATCATCATAACCACCCTGCCCATGTGTGTCATCGATTACACTGAGAACAAATAGTATTGAATGGCTGGTCAGCCATTGGAATGGACTGGATTTTTCTTTAAACACCCAAAAGCCATCTGTGACAACCCCCTCTTTCTCATCTCCTAATTAAACTTCCTAATCTGCTTTTTGATAATCTTTATGGAAGACCAGGGAACAAATTTACCATCCGTTTTTATTTTTCCTAAATGAACTTGCTATTTTTAAAGAGGCTGTTTATCTTATATTATATCTAAGAACACATAACACCTTAGGGGGTCTCATTTAAAGACCTCATTAAAAGAAGTAGAAAAGTAGATCCCTTCGATGCGTCCCACCTAAACATACATTAAAAAATCTTAACACATTTTGAATGACAAATAATTTTAGAAATAGTATTAAATCACATTGTGTTGTTTGATGCTGCCTGCTGTGAGTGTGTGTAAGCTACCATGTAGCATGTTGTTGGAGCTTTGTGTCTTTCTTTGGTTATTGGTCTCAGAAAGAGGATTAGTTTGGGGCACAATGCACCCCTGCTGAAGTTTCTACCCCCCTCCTTAGGTGGGAGGTTTGTTGAATTGACCCCAACACAACCTAGATTTGTTGGGATGCACAAAAAGAGTCATTAGGCCCAAGTAGACTCACTTGTGAGCAGTCTTTCCTTCTGTTGTGCTGTTTAAACAAAAACACCCCTTTCTATTTTTGTTCTCTGCTCTTTTTTGTAATTTATGGTCTTCTGTTTCCGTTACTGCATCTCCTTGATTAAACTGTATGTTACATCACTGTTGAGGTCTCTCAGTGCCTCTGAGCAGGTAAACAAGTCGTGTGCCGATCCAGGGGGAGTATTGGGCTGGATATGCGATCACACTCCATTCACTTATGGTTTGGCTAATGCCACTGCTAAAGTAACTGATGCAGAAACAAGAGTCTCTGTGAGGGCTGGGGAGAGAAATCTGAGAGAAGCACTAAAGAGCTTTTATTGTAATGTTCATGCACCTTTTTGTGTTTAAAAAAAAAAGTGCCTTTTTGAGTCCCAGCATTGTGTAATTTGAATTGCGGCAGGTTTAAAAATGGCTTATGACCATTTCTGGTTTTAACATACCTGGCTTCATCAGCACAGTTCAAAGTTATACGATTAACCCAGTGATTATGAGTGTAGTAGGCTACATAGAAGTCTAGGTGATATTGGTTAAATATTGAGGGTTTTGAAAACATTTCATATATTACGATATTTATACAGTTTTTTAGTATTTTTTTATAGGTTTAATTATTTTTTGATTAAACTATTATTTTAACCAAAAAGATGTTTGTTGCAAATTAGAATAAATATTTCAAAACAAAAATAAAAATAAAAATCAAGGTAAAAATAATCAAGGCATGTTATTCACTAAACGAACACAAGAAGAATATTAAATCATTTTATTTAAATGCATATTTATAATAGGGCTGGACAATAGTTCAATATCAATATATATTGCGATATAATTTTTTTCAATAACGGTGATATGATTTTTAAACACATTTCCGATATTTCGATATACATTACCAGTGTTTCCCATACATTGATTTACCGTATTGACCCGAATATAAGACGATGTTTTTTTGTTGGAAATACATCTGAAAAAACGCGGTCGTCTTATATTCAGGGTCTAGACTTTGGCATGTCAATAATACACCCACAACACTAGGTGGCGCCAAATACGCATAAAACGAGTGTGCCATGAAATACGTAATGTAATGCGTGTTGTAAAGATCGTGAGTAAAAACAAAATAAAGCCTTACAGCTGCATGAGTCGTGACTGTCACATTAGCCTGATGGGACCAAACTCCCTTTGTGATTTTAAAACGTAAGACAGTACCCAGATTTGAAGACTACAGTAAGATTTAACTTCTACTGTTAATAAGATTTTGGTAGGCTACTATTAGATGGATAGCCTAAATGTCCTAATTCAGATGGGCTACCTGTTTTTTTTTTTTTTTTATGGTATATCAAAAAGTGTATATTTTTTAAATGTGATTGTTGGTACATTTTACCAGTTTTTACCATACTTTCAAAACAAAAATTAAAATAGAAAAAATATGCAATATGAAAATAATTGAAGACAAAATGTGTTTTACTGAGAAAAAACAAGATTTGGTTTTTAAAAAGACTTTTTCCAAAAGGTACATCTGGAAAAAGGGGGGTCGTCTTATAATCAGGGTCGTCTTATATTCGGGCCAATACGGTATTTGTGGTGTTTGATTTCATTGAATAAACATGAGCACTGCACATTTCAAAATCATAACAGGACGCGGGTGTTTTATATGAATGTATCTCTGAAGGGAACCGACTGTCTTCAGACCAGTGCTGTCCCGCAAACGCGAGGTCTGACTTTCCCAGAGAAGTGTCTCTCGGCGTCTGTTCTGTGCAGTGAGCGGCAGAGAAGCAGCGCATTCAGTTGTAGAAAATATGGTTAACACCCGATCATGCATGAAAAAAAAATACCGTCATGTACCGTGAAACCGGTATAATTTTGAAGATTACCGTGATATAAATTTTTGGTCATACCGCCCAGCACTATTTATAATGTTACAAACAATTTCTATTTCAGATAAATAGTGTTCATATCGATATCGGAATTATATCGTATCGACCAAAATTAAGAAATATATTGTGATATAAATTTTGGACATATTGTTCAGCCCTAATTTATAACAATATATAGTAAACAGTGTTTTTTATAATAAATATAAATGTGAATATTATTAATAATAATGTTAGTTATATTCATTTTGTTGTCAAATTATAAAAATTGTATAACAAAATTGTAAAAAAAAAAAAAAAAAAAAAAAGTATTGAACTGATTAAGATGCCATATAATATGGTAGCTTGTCTAACCGGCTTCATTTGAGCCCGGTCCAGTCCAGGGTGACTTGCATTGCATTCAAGGTACACATATTATCGGTTCTTGCTTTCCCTGGGATTCAAGCTCATGACCTTGGTGTTGCTAGTGCCGTGCTCTACTGTTTGAGCTACAGCAAAGCATTGCAATATAGACATGTACAGAATTGGGAAAAGGGGTGCAATGAAACCTTTATTTGGTGCACCTGCTCTCCTCCTGTTACTTTTCATTGATTTAACCGGAAGTCTCCCGGGGCAGTTCACTTGTTAACCTCTGCTGCAAAGCCTCACTCCTGATCCATCATTGTCAGGCACTGGTGTCAGATTTCAGAGTGATTCAGACAATCGGCCAGATATTCCTGGACAGTGGACAAAGATCACAGGTTGAAAAGAAAAAAGTGTGACGCGTCCACCAGGAAACACCTGATCTGTCCCTGTAGGGCTTTTGTGAGTGTGCTGCAGTGATCAGGGTGTGGCTGGCAAAGATACAGAGCTAACCCTTTACCCTGTAGCCTAAGGGGAAAGTCTAGTGAATCCAGTGAAACCTGACAATTCCTGACATTGATCATTCCCTAGCAGAAATATACTAGGAATGTAAGAAGAGTTTTATTTATTTGTAATAGTTACTATTATTTATAAATGTAAATAAAGGTTTTAGATTGTTAGCTTTCTATTCAAGCAGTCTTTGAAGTCAACATGAATTCACAAATGGACCATTTCTTATTGCAAAAATTTATCTGTGCATTATATTTGAAATAAAAAAAATTGTCGTCTTATTTTTTTTTTCAAAATGTAATTTCTAATT